CATCTGAAAGAAGACAATAACTAACTAGGACATGTAACAATATCCTAAAGAATTCAACAGGGGTTCAAAAATCCCATCGCCCGACGCCCGGGACAAGTCAGTTTTCATTTCGGGCAATCAAATAATGGTATCTTACTTGTCCATGGGCTACTAGATAATGTCTGCTTACGGTTTCAAACTGCAAATAAACTTGGAGTTCATTTCACATCTGCTCAAAATGTAGCTATCAAATTTTGCAATGATAATTAATTAAGTAGAGTTATCCTTCTTTGCTATTTATGACTTCTCGATAAATAGTCCAGTAAACAGCCCAGCTGAAAAGGCACCATGGTTGACCATGGTCAACCATGGCTTACCACGGAAAACCATGGTATCACCATGGTTTACCATGCTAAACCGTGGTCACTAACATTTCTCACCATGGTAGACCATGGTAGACCATGGTCACCATGGTATACCACAGCAGATCATGGTCATTATAGACCATGGTCACCAGGAACCATGGTAGACCATGGTCAACAACATTTCTCCCCATGGTATACCATGGTGACCATGGTATACCACAGCAGACCATGGTCATTCTAGACAATGGTCACCAGAAACCAGGGTAGACCATGGTCATCTTAAACAAAACTATGGTAGACCATGGTGTTGTTCTCATACAAAGTAATGGTTGTCCATGGTCATCACAGACAAATCTATGGTAGACCATGGTCATGACAGACCAATTTTACATTTCAAACTGTGATAAATAAAAAAATTAAAATTGAAATCCTGACTGTTTCATGACATTGTGTTTCATTTATGAATAACAAAATAGCTGGAGCATTCAATGAAGTGTTACACAGGCATTATACTAATAGCATTACAAAGGACGGTGTAAAACATCCCAGATGAAAAATGATTTTCCTGAGTTAGTTTGCCTTTAATGAATATTCATGACAGATACCTTACAGATCCTTTGTTTTACGCCTGTGTGCATTAAACAACTAAAATTGAACACTTCACTCGGTGAGAGACAAGTTAAAATGAAGTGTGTTTTAATGAAAATACACGAACACAATGTCATAAAAACAATTATCAACGGGAACAGTTCACGTAATTTAACTTTCTCATTGTTGCTACAGAAACACACAAACAAATAAGGAACAAAGGACGTCTTATACACTTGAAAATCAAAACAAAATTAACCCTCCGTACATTTGAAAATAAAAGAATTTTGCCCGTCCCCTTTGCTAAAGTTGTCCATTAAACTGTGTAAACCCCGTCTCTCATGGTCTTACTAGCTTTTGTGCCTGGTTACCTTTAGTTTTTGATTTTTCAAAAAATACAGCAACAACAAAAACAATGCACGACAGAAGGCGAAACAATATTCTGTGCCTAAAACATAGACAGTTCTGCGTAAAACTTACCTTCTGTCAATAACAGCGTAACCAATTAGTGCTGGAAGATTTTTAATTCTCTTTCTTTTTCATATTTACTCCATAAAATAAAATTTGAAATTACAATGTCAAAATCGTCTCATTTCATTGAATTTCTCCCGTGAGTGATCACGATCGGCAAACGTGCCTCAAACTTGTTATAAGTACGTCTTTCGCAATGTTAATGGTGAAGCTCCCGATTTTAGAACACATTTCACTGTCACTTCCTGTTCAGCACGCAATATGACCCGAAGAGATTACATCAAAGTAGATTAATGAAATTTAAATTATTGCCGGGGATATGTGCAAAAACTATTCTTCCAATGCTATGATCGACGAAAGGAACGTGTACACTGAATATCTTTTTTCGCGATTCCCCGCCGCTGACAATATTATTGTTTATGAATTCTAATTTTGATGTTGATGCCTTGATATTGTAATTTTGCCTTTATTTGTTAATAAGATGAGAAATTATCCACTGTTGACTACACGAGTGTTGTTATGAAGTACCTCGATCGCTGTGATTGCAAACACGGCCACACGCCCTTCGCGGCTTATGTAATCTTATTGCGACTTCAAGAACGGATAGCACTAATCATACAGCCTTTTACATACATAGTTACGATATACATCCCTGGTCGCATACTAATTAATTTTTCTTTCTAAAAATATGTTTCAACTTCCAACTCAGCGCCATTCCGGGACAAGCCGGAATGGAGATAGTACGATCACGGAGACACGCGACCGCTTCCGCGACGACGATGCCATAGCTGCTACTTGTCACGTAGACATTTGTGAGCCGCCAAAAAACCAGTGATAGGCGCCAAACACAACTTTGTCAACACTGGCAATAGACTACAACGATCCAAGCGAAGAATATCCCTAATATATTAGCAATGACGGATTTCGAGGATAATCCAGCGATGGATATGTCAAGAACTCATGATAAAGGAATAGACAAGATTTAGTGCCGATGGATACATCTCAAGTTGAATTCCAGTGGACATAAGCATGAGCGTAAGTTAATAACAGCAATATTGAAATTGTTTTGAGTGCAGATATATTCAAATTGTTTTGATAAATTGGGAATACGCATTACACTTAACGTATGTGACGCGGTAAGCAACAGTTTTGAGGAGAATGACCGAAAAGACGATATAAGATATAGCAGTGTTCATTTTATATACAATGTACATCCCTCAAACGGAAAGTCAGTGTTAATTTGGGTTTTGTGCAATATGTTCTACATATCTATGTTAACACACGACCAATATCTAACGGTACTTTTGAAAAAAACCCAACCGTTATGACTTTTTGTAGTTAAGTTATCAGTGATCGAATGGTGAAGTTCACGGGGCTTGTAGAGGTCAGCCTGAAAGATTCAGTTTGTTTGCTTAGATTACACAGACAGCAAAATAAATTCAAAGGGTCATAAAAAGGGAGATAATTGCTACAGGCACGTTTATGGATATTTCATTTTCTTTTCTATCGTATTTGTATTCAGTTTTGGAATAACTACTGACTGTAAACCAAAAATGACTGTGCCAAAACGTTTAGCTATTCACTTAACGTGGAAATATGTTCACTTACAGTAAGATACGTTTTTCTATGTTATGATATGTTGATTATTATAAATAATGGGAAATGTAAACATTTCAGAATATTATATTTGGTCATGAATGTAGACTAGTGATTTAGAAGCCAATTTTGTGTTTTAATTTCTAATACATGTTGTGTTTCTTGGCATAGACTCTTCATATTACAAAAATAATTTAAAGTCATCTGCCATCAGTGTAAAGAAATTATTTTGAATAATATAATTAGAGTCTGGTGAAAAATATTTGCAATATGTTAAAAATGCATAACATTTTGAGCACCTGTAAATATATATTTAAAAAACAACAACACTTTTTTGATATTTGCTTAAGACTGTTTGAAATAGAATGATTGTGATTAAATGTTGGTGTGTTTTTCAGATTTCCACTGGACAATTCTGAAGAAATGGTCCTAATGTTGAAACACTGAAGATAAAGTTCTACAAGATGAATTTATTGCTGAGCCGGAGCGTTTGCTCTTCACACTGGAGACTTGGGTTCGATTCCTCACATGGGTACAATGTGTGTAGCCCCTTTCTGGTGTCCCTCGCCGTGATATTGCTGGAACATTGCTAAAAGTGGTGTAAAACTAAACTCACTCACTCAATATCCCTGAACCAACGGGGACATTTTCAGGGATGTCACCACTGCTCTTTCCGAAGGTTCTTCAGACTTGTGTATATACTGTTTCTTCTGAGAGAAATTGTGATGCCCCTTGTACAACTTCCAGGTAGATGATTTTGGGCCCTGTTGAAATTTCTCTGTTGGTTGCGACTCTCATTTATTATGTCTACTTCTAAACCATATGGACTAAAGTGATTACTCTTTCTGAAATTGTATATTACTGCATGAATTGGTGTTCTGAATTGGTTAATTTTCCTGGATATAGACTGACATCGAAGCTGCCCTAAAGATGTTTTTAGAATAAAATTATAGATAAGAATATCCTCTGAAAATGATGAACATGTCCACATGCCATTTGACCCTAGCAGCATTACTGGATATGTAATTCTAGTTTGCTTTAGACTTGTACTTGTTGCACAGCATATCCCTCAATCCCTGTGAGTTTCCCAACAACTGTCCTCAAGTTGTCTTTCATTTAAATCTGTCAGTGTCAGCAATAAAATGTGTCTTCATAATTTGAACAGTTTGTTTTCAGTGCATGAGTTTGTTTAATGTTAATTCTTCAATACCCAATATTCTAATTGATCTCTATGCCATGGTGTATGTGACTACAATGTATATATTGTGGTATGGCGCGGTTGGTTTCTTACCATAGTCTAAATAATGGTATTCTAATGGTAAACTGTTGTGCCATCTACTGAACAGGGTATACTGACCATGGTCTCAGTTTTTTTCAGTAGTAATCCATGGTACACCATGGTCTCTTTTTACCATGGTAATCCATGGTAGACCATGGTATACCATGGTCTCTTTTTACCATGGTTGACCATGGTACACCATGGTCTCTTTTTACCATGGTAGACCATGGTCTTATCTTACCATGGTAAACTGTGGTGCCATTTACCGCACGTGGTTAAACCATGATAGACCATGGTCTTTTTTTACCATGGTAGACCATGGTATACCATGGTCTCTTTTGACCATGGTACACCATGGTCTTTTTTTCACCATGGTAGACCATGGTCTCTTTTGACCATGGTAAACTGTGGTGCCATTTACCGGATGTGGTAAGCCATGATACACCATGGTCAACCATGGTCTGTGAACCATGGTCTACCATGGTATACCATGGTATACCATGGTCTTTTCCTGCTCATTTCAGCTGGGTAGACACTAACATCAAATACCATGTTGATTTATTCTTTCATAATTACACCATCATGATTATGTCATAAAAATCAGGGCAAGTGGAAAATTAGCCAGGACAAGTTACTTTCTTAAAGTCACTTGCCCTATGGCAAGTGGCTTTTAAAAAAAAGATTTGAACCCCTGTTCAAGGGAATGAATAAACACTACAAACCTTTTTCATTTGGGAGAACACTTCAACAGGTGCGCCATGGAAGATATACAGCCGTGAGCCATACTTCTTACATGTCTGGTCAAGGTCGTGAAGACACTCCAGCAAGAAGGTCATCCGAGGATAAGCAATCAGGGATGTTCCTGTAACCATTGCCAAAACAGCAACTTACATGACTTGCTTCACTGAACATGTGGGAGTCACAAAGAAACTCAGATTTTATCGGGGAATAGTACCATCAGAGATGCAGAAGTACAGAAACCTATACAGAATCCTTAAAGTAATAATAAATTACTTGAGAAATGTGAGTGAGTTTAGTTTTCCACCACACTCAGAAATATTCCAGCTATATGGCAGCGGTCTGTAATAATCGAGTTTGGACCAGACGATCCAGTGATCAACAGCATGATCATCAATGGGACACCCGGTCCCATTAGTCACCTCTTACGACAAGCATGGGTTGCTGAAGATCAAATCTAACCCGAATCATCACGCGTTACTTGAGAAATGAGTGTTGACATTTTCATTTAGGGCTGGTTATAAAGATTGATAATCGGAAATATCATCGATGGGAAGAATTACTTATGATTATCGATATGAAAATTGTGTTATCGATAATATCGTACTCGAACTATTGCTATAACATATAGTATTTATTCACTCACACAATACACAAAGCTACATCTGTTTATGAGCTCCTTCTGTGGTATGTTCAAGATGCTGTTTTGTTTGTAATCCATGCAGTAATATGTTACAACTTACCAGTGATTTGAAATATGACGATTTCAAGCATTTGGCAGATGTTAGTTTAAAGTTACTTCTCTAATATTTATTGATAATCGATCAATATTTACTTAATGATTATCGATATCTATTGTCTATGATAGTCAGCCCTACATGCAGCCCTGGTAGAGTGGCCATTCATTTACACTTTGTTGAAGACTTAAGATGCTGGTCTGGTCATCCATCAATGCTTGTTTCAGCAAAAGTGCCATATCCTCTTGTCTGTGCCCAATTCACAATATTGACTGCTTATCATTAGGACATCACTGATGTAAATTTTGCTTGTTGGCAGCATAACATATGCATACAATGTGCTTCAAATGCAATTATTACACGTGTTTACCTAGGTTATACCAGGAATCAGTACTTCAATTCAACTCTTAACATGCTTAGAGATGGTGTAAGAAGTTTTCGTCATTCCCTTTTCACTTGTTTCAGTCAAAACTGATATGGACTGACCAGGGACGGATCCAGGATTTTGGAGAAGGGTGTGTGCATAAGTTATGAAGTCCAAAGGTTATGGGGAAATGCTCCTCAGGGGAAATTTTTTCGAGGGAGACGGGGGAAGGATGTGCACCCCTGCATAAAATAAACCCCAACTACACACACGTGCGCGCACGCACTATTCCAACTGTGTAACACCAGCCTGTGAAAGACCCGGGTTCCATTCCCCACATGGGTACAATGTGTGAAGCCCATTTCTGGTGTCCCCCCATGAGATATTGTTGGAATATTGCTAAAAGCGGCGTAAAACCAGACTCACTCACTCTGCTTCTGGACTGACAATCTGCAGACTGATCAAGCTGATTGAACATGACCACAAAATGGTTCATTAACTCCAAAGACATAATTACACAAGTATCAACGATCAACACTGGTCAGAATATCAGCACGCAGAAGGTGCATGGACTGCTTTAACTGCCAGTCATTTTATCAGAAACATATTTTTTTATCAAACAAAAATCAATAGAAGAAATGCATAAACATGAAAACAAAACAGCCTTGACTTTCAGTCTCTGATGAGGTCTTACCAGCCACTTTCCCATCAAATATAAAGACTGGATAAAATGTCTTCGTTGTCTTCAGAGCTTTGATTAAAGTGGGGTTGTCATGGAAACGAAGGCCATGCCTGAACCACATAGCAGTGACATGCTTCCTGCAGTTTTCATCTTCGTTGCTGCAGTCCATGGCACCAGGTGAAGGGCTGGCTGTTCCTGGTTTCAGTTTCTAATGATACCACACTCTGAAACAGAAAACCATATACTTGGTTGGAAAAACAGTTACCATGGTTACACATAGAATTCAGACTGGTTTTACACAGCATTTTTATGATTGATGGCGTTTGTGTGACAACACAGTCTTTAAATAATTGCGTGTGGACCAGAAAATCCCATGATTGGCATCTATGCCACTACTGTATAATGACACACTATCATCCAATTCATCATGTTCATTAAGCTAGACTACCAACCCATTTGTAATACACAATGCCATTTAGAAAGTGGTCAAATGTAACATATGTTATATTTGGGATTACACTTTCTTTGTAAAGTACAGAAATATAGACTGGTTGTAAGAGCAAATGGGTTGGTATAACACGTTATATTTGGGATTACACTTTCTTAGTAAAGTACAGATTCTAGTACTTTTGTTGGGTTGAGTCCCCTCCGGGATTCGAACCCACGCCCTCAGAGTCAGGCACCTAATCGCCAGCACACAAAGTCATATGCCTTGTCACGTGTGTGTGTGTGTGTCTGTCTGTTTGTCTGTCTGTCTGTGTGAGATGATGATTTAAGGGGGGGTCACCCATTTTGTTCTGGGGAGGTAGGGGGGTCAGCAATTTTGTACACAAGTTTCTTAGGGGGGTCAGCAATTTTGTACATAAAAATATCTAAAATATGCTTTAAAAATATGGAAAGGGGGAGGGGGGCATTGACTTTGTACATGACATGCAGGGGGGGTCACTTACATTGTACAGACATTTTAGGAGGGGTCATTCACACTGTACGTGCTTCTCCATACAAATCATCATCACCCACCCTAGCCATGAATTATGAACGGTCCCTTCTGATGTAGCAACACTATTTAACACCGTTCTGGGCAAGGCTTGAAGCAGAACAATCCAGGAGAAACAGAACCGCACTAGCCTCTTCAGTCGACTGGTGACACATTAACATAGACTGAAACAACTTGATCAAGTAATAAGACAGCTAGGCATTAACGCAGATTAGGTCTGTCACCAAGGCAACAGGACAGGATTACCACAGACTAATATCGTTGATTCCACGGGAATGATGGGGAAACGTATATGCAATACCACAGAGTCTGCCAGCAGATTAGCCCGAGTTGGAGTAACACAATAGAAACATGGATCAGATGATCCAAGTCCACAGAGAGTTTTCACACCTTCCATTGCGTATGGAAATCTTTCTTGATCTGTTGATAATTATTATGCTTTGACATCTGGCATTTCTGTCATTTTGTATGGAGTCAACTATCAAATCCATAGCTATGTTTGATACATGTTTATCACATGAAACAGAGAGCTTCAGGGCTCCAGATAATTTTTCAACATCAGGAGTAAGTACTCCTTATTTTTTCAATATAGGAGTACTGGAGTACATTTAGAGTACTGAATGGAAAATAATGGCGTATCAGTAATCTTGTGTTTTGTTTTATATATGCACCACAACATTGCTACTCTTGTGTAAACAGGTCAATAAACAATAAAACAATACTTATTCAGATAAATACGTCTGTAAATGATTTTAAGACCATACACTATTGCTGTGGTGCGTATCTGCTACCTTTTCTAAAATATTTCCTTCCGTATCGTGCATATTTTCTATCCGTACATACGCTGATACGGCCCTTATCTGGAACCCTGGAGCTTAGAGTATTTTTCTAAATGTTCTGCTCCGAGGCAGGTTCAGTTGTCGTGGCAACGGGACATTATCACTCAGGAGTGCCTTGTTATGACAAAGTGACTCAATGCATGGAAATACTGACTGACTGAGTTTGGTTTTACGCCGCTTTTAGCAATATTCCAGCAACATCACAGCGGGGAACACCAGAAATGGGCTTCACACATTGTACCCATGTGAGGAATCAAACCCGGGTCTTTGGCGTGACGAGCAAACGCTTTAACCACTCAAATGTTTCAGAACATTGAAAATGTGTTCACATCAACACAATTTAAACATAATTATTTCAACACTGGAACTGTGTGACCTATCAAATACCGAAAGAAAAGGTTAGGCCAAAAGTGTGTTGAGAAAGTTATTTCACATGGGGATAGGCAAGTACACAGATATTTAATATAATTGGGATAAAAGATTTACTCATAACAATGATTATATATTCTCCTAAAAATTAAAAATGTCATTGTTTCCACTCCTGCTGTCCTGCATTTGAACACTACCAGGTAATATGTCTGAAACATGCAAGTGGTAACATAAAATACCAAATATCAATATAAATTATCCGCATGAATCAAATCAAAACAGCCTTAATTATGGCTGTCTTTTCCAAGCACAAAATAATCACTCACATCCACAAGTATAAAAAACACAATATTTATTTGCTGAATACCAGTGCAAGGTTTACCCAAGCACATATAATATGTTGTTGCTGAACAATGCTAGATCAATGATGTGGATGGACATAATTGATGAGGTCTGAAACTGCTGCAGCCAAATAATTACCTATTCCGAGAACCTATGCAAATGAACATGACTCATGACAAGATGGCCAAATAAGTGTTCCTTGACAATAAGTGCTTCAAAATGTTACTTTAATTTATCATCCCAAACCATGAGAAGAGACGGAGTTACGTTGGTTGGTTTCATGTTTAACACCACACTTAGCAATATTCCAGCTACATGGAGGCAGTATGTTAATAATCGAGTCTGGGCCACACAATCCAGTGATCAACATCATGAGCATTGATCTACACAATTGTGTTATGATGACATGTGTCGATCAAGTCAGCGAGCCTGACCACCCGATGCCGTTAGTCGCCTCTTACGGCAAGCATGGGTTACTGAAGATGAATTCTAACCCGCATCTTCACAGTCGACTGAGTTGTGTGGTCATTGGCTATGTGTTTCCATAGGAAAGTCTGTTCTGTCAATAAGACCTGTTAATGTTTTCATTGAAATGTAGCGCCTATCTTAACACCAGATAGGTATCAACCAACCTAAAGTTTGTAAGACAAGATGGCTGAAGTGAAAAAACTTCCCTACTTTACTAATTTCGTATTTGGCATATTGACTAGGGCGGTGAGGTAGCCTAGTGGTTAAAGCGTTGATATTGAGTGCAACCGTTAAACAGTTTGATGTGGGGTCCAAAATAGGTTTTGAATGAAATATTTGAGTAGCATTTTTCATTAAATGAATCAAGGTGAGTATTATTAATATTTCAGTTGGGCTGCCGAGGCACATTGAAACTATGGCTGATAATATCAAAAACGCACATTTGACTTATTTCAATACTTTTAATCACATCATGCATAATTAGAGGTGGCACCAATACAAAGACCTGACAAATTTTCCCATTTGGCTTTTCTCTTGCCTGGGATATCATTCAACCTTAATACATTCAGAGCTCTAAATATGGTGCTTCTTTGTGTAAAACATCAAAGAAAAATATTGAGTAACTCATGTTTTACACATGTCTGCTTATAATATATACGCACTAATTATAATGTTTGATGCTTTAATTTAAATAAAAGTGTGTAATTCTGAAACCACATAAATCCAGATTATCAGATTCTGACAACCAATTGAAACGATTCACTTGGCGAGTTATATATGCTATGACTTTTTTTACACAAAAGATCTGAAAATGAGTGCAAGTGAAAACTGGTAAAGCTTTCTAAAATGGTCACTGATTGGTGCTTCTATAAATAATATTATGGTTGTCGTCGTACGGTACCAAAGGGGTCCCTGGTGAACCCCTTTCTAAATGGCGTGCTGGTCTGGTTATGGGGAATTAGCTCGGCAAAGTGCATTGTGTATTTCAAAGAATCTGAAGTCGCAAGAAGCTAACTACAATTTTATTTACAAGAATAGAATAACATGAGGTGCCCACAGAGAGTCGGTACTACCCTCTGGGCTGAGGGTTTGAGCTAACCTATGTTGGGAGAGTCTAAACCCTACTAACATTTGGATTTCCTAACTATTTATCTAGAATTGAAACAATAAAAAGATGACGATTAGTTGATGATACAGAATGGGGTGTGCCCTATAATAACCAATGAAATGACCAGACAGAGGGGAGTACTTAATCCTGCTAATCCTAATTAAGCTGGCACTAACCTTGTTGACACATTTACTTGATGCTTGGATGATTATGGTATTACAATCGTTGCGCTTAGTCTGGGCTAAGTCTTAATAAATTGAGACCGCATCCGTGGTGTAGTGGTTAGAGCGTCTGCCCGGAGAGCAGAAGGTCGCGGGTTCGATCCCCGACCGTGTCATACCAAAAGACGTTAAAAAATGGTACTTGTTGGTCCCTGCCAGGCGCTCGGCATTAAAGGGTACAACCAGGACTGGTCGGCTCGGAGTCAGTATAATGTGTCTGAGTGGGGTATTCATGCTTCACTGCGGCATGGTATCTCAGTGAGCTAGCACTATAAAACAAGCTTAAGTCTGGGCTAGTACAAGCAGCCGCACATACACCTACACTCGCATGCACGTCGTCATATGAGCGAAATATTCTCAAGCACGACGTTAAACCCAATTTCACCTCACCTCACTTAATAAATTGATGTGTTTGCTTAATGTCATTCTAATACAGGTGATGACATATTTACTTTATAACTTAAATCCAAGCAATTTATTAAACTGTCTATACATGGTGTCCTCTCACTTAGCCAGATTCTGTCAAAACAGGTCTCTCACATAGCCAGAGTGGAATTTTGCTGACTGGAGTTAGTGTTTTGATAACATCTGGTCAAGATGAGCCATAGTTTGTTTCAACAAAAAGCCCATTTAGTGAGATTAGTGAAATTTGTATTAAAGAGAGATACTTGTACATTGATATGGTATTATTTGAACTTTTTGGGGAGGATTTGAGGAAATGCTCAGTTAGTTGACATTAGTCACATTTGTATTTAAGTGAGATACATTGATATGGTATAGTTTGAATTATTTTGGAGGATTTCAGTAAATGCTTAATTAGTGATATTAGTGAAATGATTATAACTAGTCCAAGATTATTTATGCAAAAATAATTATTATTCCGAGCAAAAACATTTAGGTATCTGGTTTCAAAAGACGCAAATTGGACTGCACAGATAAATTCTTTACTTTTTAAAGTTTCACTAATGAAAAATTGTTTAAGGAGTTACAAATACCGATTATCAAGAAAAACACTATTCGTTATGTATCAATTCTTTATTCTGCCATTATTTGATGTATATGGGATAATTGTACAGTTAGCCGGGCATCAATGCTTGAAAAAATACAGCTTGATGCACTTAGAACAATATGTGGGGCTACAAAGGGAACAAGTCATAAGAAATCAGAAATTTAATGTAAATTTATATTTTAGTTTGTGCAGCAACTAGGTTCATTTCCATAATTCGTCGGGGCGGTGGGGTAGCCTTGTGGTTAAAGCGTTGGCTCGTCACGCCGAAGACCTGGGTTCGATTCCCCACATGGGTACAATGTGTGAAGCCCATTTCTGGTGTCCCCCGCCGTGATATTGCTGGAATATTGCTAAAAGCGGCGTAAAACTAAACTCAGTCAGTCAGTCCATAATTCGTCCATTCCATTATGTCCTCTATTTCCGCCTTTTGCCAAAGTGTCTCTCACACAACAGAGATGTGCCCCCAACCTGCCGGAGCTGGTGTATGGATGTTTATATTCATGTCTATTGTATGCTTAATGTTGTTTATGATATCATGTAATTTTGTAATAATGTTATGAAATACAAGTCGCATAAATGTTATTTTGTCTGGGGAGGCATTAATATAAGCTTTTTGCTTGTTTGCCGATCCAGTTTCTGAACAATATATCAGAAATAAATATGTTTAAACCAAATTTTCATATTACAAACAAACGAACACACACTTGCATACATCTTAAATCATGTCGCATTGTAGATATAGACTATAGCCCTAGAACAAAGGCTCACGCTTCATTGGCTAATGCTAATTACCTGTCTCGCATCTCTCACCTAGCCATAGTGCAATGTTGTCTTAACAAGGCCTTTTTGGTCAGACTCTGGCTAAGTGAGAGTGAACCCTATACATAGCTTTTAACTCACTGAAAGGTGGGCCTAATAGATGAGTTATTATTACTTTAGGCTGGGATTTATGAAGAAACATCTCTCAAATTATGTAGACGTAACTTTTTGAATAGTGTGTCTGTTTTTATTACTTTTGACTGGAGTCTTGAAGCTATTACTGATCATGATGAAACTAATATTATATATTTATATTTTCCTAATATCTAAATCGTACCATAACGCTTGTAGTGGAAATAATTAATAATAAATTTTTGTATGAATTATTACTCCATGATAATAGCATCCAGTTTTGAAAATTATTGTACAGAAAAGCTTGAATTTGTTTACTTGCTTACAAATGCATTCAAAATGGCGACCATGCGATTGATGCGAGGCCAACGGAAAATCGAGCCGACCAGCATGGAGGGACAGATTGAGATTCTGAATCTTATAACAGTTGATTGCTCAAACAAATAGGTGAAAGCAACAATTGACGACATTGAGCTGCTGAAAAACATGACGACAAGAAGGTATCAAACAAACACTTGATGTCTCAAACAGCTTCTTTACGTGGCTGACAATTAATAATAAAGATGGTGAACTGCTACTGTCACAAGTCATAAGTGCGACAAGTCATACCAATCATGAAACATGTGTACACACATTTTATCACATTAACATTTTCCATAAATTATATCAATCGTAATCAGTAAAGTAAACATACAAATATCATGATAAAAAGGGCAGAGGGTTTTCATGCACTAATGCACTAAAAACAATTACCCAGCCCAAATGCCTGTCCTATTTTTGGATGACCCCACATTGTCTTCATTTCTGTAACATGTTATTTTTCATGATCCTCAACAAATATGCATATCACGTTTACGACTGGCCACCCCACCCCACCCCTCGACTGTACCCCCAAAAACCCCCAACAACAACAACAAAAAAAGAAAACAAAACAAACAAAACAAAAAGAAGAAAAAAACAGAAAAAAAAGGAAAAAGCACACAGACAGTCCATATCATACACTAAAAACTATGACGGATTCAGAAACACCCTGACACTGTCATGCATGTGCACTAAGTAGTAAGTACAATGTATGACATTTTGAAACAGCTTCACGTAAGTGTCGTGTGATATCCTACCATACACACTGCCTTGCCTGCTTCTATAGACTGTTGACAATGAGCAAATTCAGCCTAAGAATGCTGTCATGTTTTCAACAAGAAATGTTGTACAATGTAAATGTCTGAATGTAGTCGGTCCACCATCTCCCTAAACAGCTCGCAGATACATACCACTGGAAGACACGTTACTGTGACAATATCTTACCGTGTATCAAAGCCGTATCAACTGTGATCCACTGAAGTCGTTAGTCTTATGTTCAGCTGATGACAGCACCACTACCTCCTATCAGCGCCGAGGATGTCACGGCAATGTATAAAATCCGGATCCCTTCCAACATTTGTTGTATAAATGTTGGAATATATTTACTGAAAGTCGAATCCGGATTTGGAGCTCATAATATGTTATAATGAATGATAAATGTCTCCTTTCTCTTTCAAATGTTTCTCTGGATACGACACTTGAATTTGTTAATCACTTGGCAGGTAAACATATAAACAGATGTAAATTGCTGCTCAGGCACCCCGTGAGTGACAATATATAAACTGATGCCATTTTTTTGCGTTTATAGGCCCCAGTGAATTTGTGAGGGTCAAAATGTTTTATTCTGAAAAGAATTAAGTTTTTGTTGGCCGGTTTCCAGTGAAAACCCCCAACTAATTATTTTTAAATTGTTGAAGCTTTTATGTCAACAATACTGTAAGACAAACATAGTGCGTAAATGATGTTAAGCATAAATAAAGAATTCTCGGCAGGAACTTTGCTCACGGAATGGGTGCAGGCTGTTGAGGCCACATATAAAAAGAAATCTTGTTTCTCATTACCGACCGACCCAAACATTCGACTCGACCCTAAATGTTGCAGAAGGAGAGCGAGACGTATATTCGTGTATATTCAATTACACTTCGTGTCTTCTAGGAACAATTAACATATATGATAAACAGAGGAAATATTGAAACTGTGATTGTGGTGTGTTTTGGTTGAGTTGATGGCAGCGACAATGGTTTCAAAATACTGCACAATCGCATATTGCCATTTACAACAACATTTGATTAAGGTTACACGACGCTCTACTTGGAGAGAAACTGCCTGGGGGTACTACATGCTCGACAATCTATAGATACAAGTATTACCCGAAAGCACAATGAACATAAACAGTGTAACTGTTTATACAGGGCGTCCGTGCTGAACCCCTCGAACCCCCCATTGGCTCCGCCAACGCAAAAAAAATCTTCAATGTGGTCTTAAGTCATTTTCAAAGGGTGTGTGGGTGTGGGTGTCTGGATCCGCCAATGGGGGTGCACACTTCATTTTCACCCGTTTTCACGAGAGTTTCAATGGTCATTTAATAAACATTCGGGACAAAAGGAGGGGTGCGCTGACTTGCTTGACACATGTCATCGTATCCCAGTTGCTTAGATCGATGCTCATGCTGTTAATCACTGGATTGTCTGGTCCAGACTCGATTATTTACATACTGCTGTCGTATAGCTGGAATATTGCTGAGTGCGGCGTTAAACAACAAGCCAACCAAACCAATCATATTACAATAGGAGTTATTGTGTTATTAAATCGTCTAAATATTCCGTAATGCTATTAAATAGCCTTTAAAGGTCTCCGGACAACATATGCGTCTTTGGAAATTTAAGTAAAGATGCTACTACTTCTCGGGGTTGAGCATCCTCGATAATCAGAAAGTGGAGAGTGATCGTAACGTATACCCTGGAGATTATCGAGGTGGGGGTTGAGTCCCAATGGGGATGTGAACCAACACTCTCAGAGAGAGACAGACAGACAGACAGACAGAATGTTTATTTGAATCTCACCCGTCATGCAGTAACTAAAACACATAAATAGATACAGTTCATTAAAACGATGTATATAGGGCCATTCCATACCGAATTACGAGAGACTTTACAACTTAGATTGTACAAAAGATTTAAAATAGAATATAGTTTAAAACGTAACACATATCATGAATTGTATAAAACTGTTCTTCTTTTTCTTGAGATGAAATGGCAGGTTTTAGCAGCTAAAGTACATGTTGTCTGTACAATGAAAGTCTGATAAGTGGTAGTCTATCTACGCACATAGTGAACCCATCTGATAAGTGGCAGTCTAGTAACGCACATAGTGAACCCATCTGATAAGTGGTAGTCTAGCAACGCACATAGTGAACCCATCTGATAAGTGGCAGTCTAGCATCGCACATAGTGAACCCATCTGATAAGTGGTAGTCTAGCAACGCACATAGTGAACCCATCTGACAAGTGGCAGTCTAGCATCGCATATAGTGAACCCATCTGACAAGTGGTAGTCTAGCAACGCACATAGTGAACCCATCTGATAAGTGGTAGTCTAGCAACGCACATAGTGAACCCATCTGACAAGTGGTAGTCTAGCAACGCACATAGTGAACCCATCTGATAAGTGGTAGTTTAGCAACGCACATAGTGAACCCATCTGATAAGTGGCAGTCTAGCAACGCACATAGTGAACCCATCTGATAAGTGGTAGTCTAGCAACGCACATAGTGAACCCATCTGACAAGTGGTAGTCTAGCAACGCACATAGTGAACCCATCTGATAAGTGGTAGTCTAGCAACGCACATAGTGAACCCATCTGATAAGTGGTAGTCTAGCAACGCACATAGTGAACCCATCTGATAAGTGGTAGTCTAGCAACGCACATAGTGAACCCATCTGACAAGTGGTAGTCTAGCAACGCACATATAGTGAACCCATCTGACAAGTGGTAGTCTAGCAACGCACATAGTGAAACCCATCTGACAAGTGGTAGTCTAGCAACGCACATGGCAAGTGTGAACCCATCTGATAGTCTAGCAACGCACATAGTGAACCCATCTGATAAGTGGTAGTCTAGCAACGCACATAGTGAACCCATCTGATAAGTGGTAGTCTAGCAACGCACATAGTGAACTCCATCTGACAAGTGGTGGTAGTCTAGCAACGCACATGGTAGTCTAGCAACGCACATAGTGAACCCATCTGATAAGTGGTAGTGAACGCCATCTGACCCATCTGAGTGGTGGTAGTCTAGCAACGCACATAGTGAACCCATCTGACAAGTGGCAGTCTAGCATCGCACATAGTGAACCCATCTGATAAACCCATGGTAGTCTAGTCTAGCAACGCACATAGTGAACCCATCTGACAAGTGGCAGTCTAGCATCGCACATAGTGAACCCATCTGACAAGTGGTAGTCTAGCAACGCACATAGTGAACCCATCTGATAAGTGGTAGCCTAGCAACGCACATAGTGAACCCATCTGATAAGTGGTAGCCTAGCAACGCACATAGTGAACCCATCTGACAAGTGGTAGTCTAGCAACGCACATAGTGAACCCATCTGACAAGTGTAAATTGTAATATAACACATTTCATATTGTTTAGCCCCCACTGGACACGTTCCTTCTTCTCCTCCACATGTGTGAAGTATCCACACACCCAGTATATTCGAACACTAACATGTATACGCTGTTTTATTAAATCTATAAACGTGTATACTAATTCTCTTATATTTTTTATATACTGCTCAGCTGATATCGCATGAAACATACACTGGCTAGACAAATCAAATGATGCCACTCAAACCAGTAATAATAAAATCAACTCGGCCACGTTTTGTCAAAATAAGAGCTAATTTACACCATAATAAAATTAACGGTTTGATTTTTATAAAAGCACACACTGATTTTATACCATTTAAGAATTGGTTAAAGATATAGGCAAGCTGATGCCTGTGTAAAATGTCCGGAACGAGACGGCTTTCACCCAGGATTACAGTAAGTCTTGAAACGTATTCGCTGGATTTAAGGTGTACAATATGCTACATATCTTAATTTTTACTGCACCGGACACAATACATTTGTACATTTTGATTTCACAAATCAGTTTGCAATGAATCAAACCGGGTGTTGGGCTTTGCTCAGCTGACGATGTAACCACTTGGCTACCCACCGCGTCAGGGATATGTTACGTGTTTTCGTCGATCTAGAATAGTACGTTTACCTCATTTTAAGATGTTTGATATTCATCATAATAATCAAACGCTTCACATATAAATTAAAATATAATTCGGGAATATGCCTATACTTTATGTACGCGCCACATATATATGACCTTATTTTACAATGGGTGAACAATTTACAGGGTAAATATACAGTATTATAATGTGAGTAGCACCACACTTAATTTTGTCATTATTAACTTCACTGCTTCAGTGCATGGGGGTCGTGGTGTAAACCTCCTCCCCTCCACCCTCGCAATCCACTACTGAAGTAGACCTATATATGTTTGGCATTCAAACTATGGCAAGTATGCTAACGTGTTTTTAGGTTTTGGGTCATCATGGCCCATTGACACAGAATGAAGCACTAGGCTAAGGGGACCTGAACTGTGCTTATAATAAAATACCCTTAATCGTTTTGAGAGCAGCCCCTTTAGCTCTCGCCAACAAGTTCGCCTTCCTTTAATGGCACTACGCATGCGTAGATGACTCATAGGCAGCCATTACACAGAAGGCATTGACATGTCAGCGATAATATAAACTAGTAGACTTCGAAATACAATGGAATTAACTTTATCACGTAAGTCTTAGATTAGTTTCTGTCCTTATACCTTGCATGGCTGCAGACTGCTATAAAGAGTACGCTTTATCAATGCGATCAGAGAAAATAGTCGCAGAAAACAACAAAATTTGGAAATATCCCAAAGTTTTGCACTCGTAGATTCTTTGGGGTGGGATTGCTTTGCATGGGACGCTGGGTTACAAGATCATTTACTATAATGTCTCTAGCGTTGGTTGCAACACATATCGACACATAACAGTTGAAACGACACGCTTGAACTGTACAAGTTCCAAATGTGTTGGAATTTGGATACCATGTGTCACTCAAAACCCCAAGTAAACAATCAATGGGCTCAGCCTGGTGCTTTTGTGGCTTACAGAGATTATCCCGGCCTGGCTCGAACATTGACACTTTCTATTTTGCAGACAGTAATACAATCGTAAAGATAGACCTTACTTTCTGTGAGTATTTTGAAAACATTCAATCATTAATACTTGATTACAGATGTGATTGCAATTTGCATTCAATACATTTCTCTTAAACATCATGCCTACTGGCTAGCGAACAGTTATCGCAGCGTAACAGTTATCGCCAATACATCAGTATCACACGTGCGCAGTTCCGGTCACTTACAATTGGGGCGGTGGGGTAGCCTAGTGGTTAAAGCGCTCGTCACGCCGAAGGCCCGGGTTCGATTCCCCACATGGGTACAATTTGTGAAGCCCATTTCTGGTGTCCCCTCCGTGATATTGCTGGAATATTGCTAATAACGGCGTAAAACAATACTCAGTCAGTCAGTCAGACTTACAATTCCGGTATTTTTCATTTAGTCCGGTATTTTTAACTTAGTCGGGGATGTCCCATGACCTATATGATAGCAAACTGAAGTTCGCAAGTCATTAATTGTTTCATTCCCTATCAATCTACTGTAAAAGAAACACTCAAATAGTCACACAATCAATTATTCGAAGTTACTGTATGATATAAATATATATTATTTCACGAGTGGCATTAGTAATTCTGAATGGCGATAACTGTTACAGTCAATTGTGAGAAAACATCTATTTGTACTGCCATGATTCCCTTCCGCTGCGTTATATAAAAACATGATTGGCGGCATTGAATGGACTGAACATTGGTGAATAGCTAATTAAGTACCATAATTAATTCTGTTTCATTAATTTAACGAACGGCGGAGTAATTTTGTAAATACCGCAAAAATATGGCGATAACTGTTCGGTAGCCATTATATATACAGTAGTATTTTTTGTTTATGGTTCTTGACTTAATGATTCCATATATTTGTGTTTGCCATTTCCCAAACATGACATCTTGATTAATTTGTAGTATGATAAATCTTTTCTCCATAATTGCAAGATGTAGATGAATCACTTTTTCATGATGATTGAAACATATTTCTGGATTAATAGACTAGGCCTGATTCTGGAAAAGTCTCAAATAAAAGATGTTGAGGCATTTTTTAGTAGGATTTGGTATCCAGGTTAATTTTACCTATTTAAAGGGTGCTGATCATGAAAAAATAGGATACCAAGCTGAAAAAAGTGTTTTGACCATCAAAATTGAAAAACAAAATGGCCGCCAAAATCACCTAAAATAGTGGTAGGTGTGCACAGTATTTTCGACTGACTGTATCTCTATTTTGTAAATTTTGGAAACTTGACCTTTTATAACATTTAAAGAATGCTGATCATGAATAAATAGGATTGCAAGCTGAAAAATGTTTTTGGGACCTCAAATTTGAAAAACAAAATGGCCACCATAGTCACCGCAAGTAGTGGTAGGTGTGCACGGTATGTCATCACCCGTGACTGTATATCTATTTTCTAATTTGTTTAAACCTGACACTTTTGATCGATCACGAAAAAAGAGAATACCAACTGAAAAAATTTGTTTATGAACCTCAAAATTGAAAAACAAAAAATGGCCACCAAATCACCTTTTCAGTAGACGTAAATACTGAATGCATAGATTGGTATATGATGAAACATAAATGACCTCTGTACAATTAAAATGTTAATATTGTCACCACAAGATATAGAACTGCCTTTCATTAAAAACAATAAATAAATTGGATTTTGTTAAAAAAAATATTTCATCCCAAAAACATTTCAAATTTTTTATCGGAATTGTCATAAATGGTTAGGAAAAAGTTGTTAACAAAACATTTTAGTTGTTAATAGTTCAGATAGTTAGCAACACATTATGAAACATTACTGAGCACGGTTGTAATTGTTTTGAATGTTTTTTAAAAAGGCGGTATTTTAACAATTCAAAATACTACGGCCCCTTTACTATTGATGACAGCCTTTCTAAGACATGTCAAGTTTCTTGTGCAATTATTGTAAGTATTCCTCCTTTTACATTGGTATTTTTTTAAAATAGTGTATCTACTTTCTATAAGGGCAAATAAAAAAGATTAGAATGAATAATTTACTGCATTTTCAGTTACAAAATGTAAGTGAAACCCTCATGTGCAAACCCTATTGATTGGAAGAAATGTACGTTTTGTCAAGAAGTTAACTTGAAACAACATCACCATTCTCTATTCTGTGATGTCATTAAACACCAGCTCTGATATTCTGGAAGCTTCTCGATTTGACCAGGACTTGAATTGTAAACTTGCTGGTGTATGTGACCTAATGGCTGCCAAGGCTAAATATCATTTACCCTGTCTTAGTTCCTTTAAAAGAAATATGTCAAAAACCAAAAATGCTCATGACTGTAACACAGACCCACCAATGGCATGCATTATGATAGATACGCCATCTGATACTGGTGTTGAGATTGATGAACAAAGTGCTGTCAGTTGCATACCGGACAGTGTCTACATGTTCCTTAAAGGTCACATGCAACCAAAAAATCAAACATAATTAAAACACAATTATCACTTCTTCATGACATATAATATGCATTGCTGATTATGAAAAAAACAAATAAACAAAATTATAAGCGTATAATCGCAAATCAAAAGTGCAATATTTTGTACTCCCTCGAAACGAAGCAGCCAGGATACCGAACCCAGTCAGAGCGGGTGGGTGTGCACTCAAGTGTAACGGCTGGTTCATTAGCAGATGACGCCTTCACGGCTGATTGTGTGTGTATATATAGAGATGTTGGGTTTTGTAAATACATGCTCATTTTTTGTGTATAACATTTTGCAATCAACAGACATCATAACATGTCATGTGTTCAAGTATCACACCTGCCTGTCTGTGTAATTACATAATGTGACAGAGACCGAACTCGGGCCATAAATCAATGCATTTTGTTTATGGTGTATAGCCTGATTGGTGTTAAGTTCAAATTGTCATTAGCAGACAGGCAGGCAGACACACAGGTGTCAATAAAACAAGACATTGAGTTTTGTCTGTGACAGCGACATATCTATATCACAGTTAGAAATTGTGTCAACGCTAAATAATGACATTGCTTTTAAGTATCGAACTGAGAAAGTGACTCGGTAAGAAGAAAAGTCTGGCGAAAATTAGTGAAACGTTTGAACTCCGATTTCGCGCGTTTTTTTTCATCGCGTTTTTTCAACTTTATAAGTTGAATTTGCATTTTTGACGCTTTGTTTCGGTAAGTCCATACCGAAAGGTATCAGAATCTGCAAAGTTGTGTTTTACGTTGCATGTGACCTTTAAACATTTGTGTGTACACTTCATCCAGTAACGAGATCCAAAGATCTTGTTCAGTTGTTCACAAAGCAGGACATACTTTACGTTACAGGCAGGTCATGCGACTTGACACATCCATGAAATGTTCATAATGTTCAAAGTGTGAACACAGTGCGTAGGTTTTGTTAGAAAAACCATCCAAACCTGGGATCAGTAATAGACATGTCTCTGTCTGCCGACAGCAGTATGCAGACGACACACAGCTGAACAAGGTTTTCTCTCCCAATGCTACAGAACCTACAGATGCAGTTTCACAGGTAGCTGGCTGCTGTGAGGATATAAAAGTTTGAATCTTTCAGAGCAAGCTGAATGAGTCAAAGAGTGAATGTCTTCTCGTAGGTTCTCAGAATTGAAGGGCTGAGGCAGGAATTCGCAAATTCCACTTTGGTGACAGTCGTGTTCCTCTGTCGTCTGGGGTCAAGAATCTTGGTGTCACTCTCGACTCGGATCTTTCGCTTGACTCTCATGTCAATAATCTTACCAAAACCCGCTTTCTTGTCCTCGGGAATATTAGTAATGTTCGTAACTACCTGACAAAGCATTCTATTGCCACATTGGTCCTGTTGCTAATTGTGTCACGGCTTGACTATTGCAATTCCGTTCTGTCTGGGGCAACTTAACAGCAGCTTAACAAACTACAAGTTCAAAATACTGCAGCAAGGATTGTTGCACTGACTAGGAAATCAGAGCACATCACTCCACAGCCTTCACTGCTCCCTATGGAACACCGTATCAGCTACAAGCTCCTTTGTCTTGTCTTCCAAGCGTTGGCTCGTCACGCCGAGACCCGGGTTCGAATCCCCACATGGGTACAATGTGTGAAGCCCATTTCTGGTGTCCCCCGCCGTGATGTTGCTGGAATATTGCTAAAAGCGGCGTAAAACCAAAACTCAGTCAGTCAGTCAGTCTTGTCTTCCAGTCTCCATTCAGGTCAGGCTCCTCCCTACATATCTGTTCACCACCAAGAACTCTACGTTCCCAAACCAAAACCCTGCTCCATGTTCCCATGGTAAAAACATCCCACTATACAAACTAACAGAGAGAACATTTGCATATTCAGCCACTAAAGCCTGGAACTCCCTGCCCAAGTACCTGAAAGACTGTGAATCATTGTCATCATTGAAGACCCAACCCACAATCTTTCTGTTCAGACTTGTCTTCTCTGTATAACTTCTCTCATCCCCTCTCAGACATGTGCGTTTAGAGCACGTACTGTGCATGGATTCAGCGCGTTACAAGTGGATTATTATTATTATTAAACCTGAGTTGATGCCACCAACTGTGTGTGTCCATTACAAAATCATGATCAGGAGGAAAGTC